CAACAATGGAAAATCTCGCACGAAGGAGATCGGCCCAGTCCCCACTTTGTCCAATTTGTCAATTGCAGGAGGAAACAATCGAACACCTCTTTCTGCAGTGTTCCTGGGTGAGTGCTATTTGGCGTGGAGGTTGTTTCAGTTTGAGGGTGGGTATTTCGGCTACAGTGTCGTGGGCTCATTGGCTGTTGCAGGTGTTTACTTCAGTGAAGGGCTCAAAGGAGGTGAGTCTAAAGATGTTTTCGTATATTGCTTTTCCATGCTGGAATATTTGGAAGTCTAGATGTAATTTTCTCTTCAACAACCACCAGATTGATCCAAGGCAGGTGATCTTTGCCTCTTCCCTCTCGGCTTCTTCTACACTGCTGCTCATCTAGCTCTGTTGCCCGAGCCTAGCACGGGTCAACATGAGTCTGGGGTTGGAATTAGGTGGAGTCCGCCGAACATGGGCGGTGTGAAAATAAATGTGGATGCTAGTTGGAATCTCAGGAGCAAGTCGGGCTTCATTGGGGTGGTGGCGCGGGGTGAGGAGGGTCGGTTCCTGGAGGTAGAAAGGTATAGTGGGAAGGCGTCTAGTGCAGATATGATGGAGGCTCTGGCTATTCTGAATGGGTGTACATTTGGAAAAAGTAGGGGATGGAGCTCCGTTATTATTGAATCCGATTCATTGGAATCAATTTCTTGTCTAAAGGATATGGCAAGGAATGGCAGTTGGGATGCCTTTCCTATCTTGGTGAAATGTTGCGGCTTAGGTAAGGATTTTCCTGACTGCCGCTGGTCTTGGGTTCCAAGATCGGCCAATTCAGCGGCGGACTATTTAGCGTCGAGTAAGTGTAGGGAAGCTTGTGATCAGATTTGGGTCGATAAACCCCCATCTTCCCTTGTTCATATTCTATGTAATGACGGCCTTCCTTTCCCCCCTTAGTTGTCCTTTTGGGTTATGCGATGTGGGACGCTTTAGCATTAGATGCGGCGTCGTGGTATTGTTGTGAACCACTCGTATTTCTTTCTTTGCTGTTATTGGTGTCTTGCCTCTAGGTAGGCTTCCTTGTATTTGCTTGGCATCTTTGCCTTTTAATGTTACCAGGTTTCCAAAAAAAAAAAAAGTAATAACATAAAGATACACAGCTATAGTACAAGAGCTTTACAACTTTACAACTCTAGCCTAAACTATGTTTTCCCGCCGTCTGTCCATTTTCGGTTCCCCATCCTCTCTGTAAGCAGTAGTTGCTTTCCAAACCAGTTGAGGTGGTTCAACATGACAGCGATCATCCTTTCTGTTGTATTGTCCTTGTAATGTTCTGCGCTAGTAACCACGACCATCAGTGTGTACTAACTTAGCGTTATCTATGCCCCGTGAGTTCTCTGATTGTTGTTCTCATTGCTAAGCCTTCACTGGAGAACCTGTTCGAGGTGTTAGTAGGGACGGAAGGTCTCTGATTTGAGAGCCGGTGCCCCAGAAAGACGCAAGAAAAAGGCCCACGATGGCCAGGCAACAACCGAACATGCTGGAGGAACGGCCTGGCTGCTCCCAAGGAATTGGCTTGCAAGTAACCCTGCCAAAGTGGAACTCTGCATTCCCGTGCATAAGGAAAGTGTCCTGCTAACTTCTTCTTCTTGCCTGAGGTGACAACAATAACATTATCTATAACAGAACATGGGGATATTAAAACACTTCTGACACCGGCTTTAAATTTCTGAAATGTAAAATTTCTTAGAACCAAGTGAGCTTAATGACTCTCCTAGAAACTATTAGCAGATGAGGTTTAGATACTTGCTAGAGTGAATGAATAACAAGATTTTGAATTTGAGACTGGGGATGCAACGATCAAACATGTATGCTAGTTGCAAGATCGTTGAGGGATAAAAGATAAACACCTAACTATGGACATCCACTGAAACATAGTCGTGGAGGAATTCAAGTGCAAAACAAGGGTAACCGGCAACAAAGGTTGTTATGCCAATGGCTCACAACTCTTCCTCACAGTCGACAACACATGACTTCCAAGCATGAACTTTAACATTCTATGACAGAGGAAGATTTACCTCAAACCTGGAGTTTTGGATACCCAGTATCCAAGTGTAAAGGCCACCGCATGAAATGCTATGACTGGAAATATCAACCGGAAACCCTCTACAGATAGAATTTGACTCCGGTTAATTGCAAGAGGACTGCCAATGCACAATGAAGTGCATATCATAGCAACAACTGGCATCACTGGTCGAAGGAAATTGACAACTGGTTTTGCATAAGTATTGAGCACAAGACCAATTGTGACCGGAAAAAGAACCACCTACATGTAAAATAACAATGTCAATGAAATGCCTATTTAAGTATAATAGCCGTAGAAGGTAAAACATTGTATTACTAAACTCCAACTACCTGCAATATCGACTTTGACATGGCAACAGCATCAACCGGAACAACAGAACCGATTAAAAGGCCGGTTAGTAAAGGCGTTACGATCACAGAAGCAATGGTGGTGGTGCTGGTGAGGAGAATGCTCAAGGCCACGTCTCCTTTGCTCAAGAAACTAGCGTAGCTAGACAGCTGAGCCCCTGCAACACAAGCAGTGAGGACAAAGCCAGCGTAGAACATCCTTGGCACGCCAAATGCGTTAGCAATTAGTACCCCAAGTACCGGTTTCAGTACATACTGCGCGATAAACCCAACAGAGAGGGGTAAAGGTCTGCAACAGATGAGAAGTAAAGAATATTGGGAGCACACTCAAAACCTCGCTAACAGATTAGAATAAATAAATGACAGTGAGAAGAATATATACACAATGCTGAATAAAGATATTACCTTTTGAATGCAAGAGCAAAATCATCAATCGACAGTTTGATTCCAATTGACAGCATGATCCCACCAAGAGCAGGGGCATATAAATCCTTGGATACCCTATATTAATTTTGAGTTAATACATCGTTAAACTAAATTAACAAAAATCAAGTCTCTCATGGGCCTAAAATCAAACACATGCAAGCAGTCCCAGCTCACGACCTTTAAATTTTCCTAAACCAAATTCTCAGAAACTGAGAGTTGACTGAAATGATCCAGGATTAAAGATAATGACTTTAGACTAATGTGTACAAAAGGGTATGCAGAAATAGTATTAATTTATAACTTTAATCCTTAATTATCCCAGCAAAAACGAAAGTAATATGTATCCCTGTATAAAATAATCCAACTTGGACTTTCATAAACTACAAAAAACTGAATCCCACTTGCTAATTCCACAAGAGTTCGACGTGCAATCATTCAAAACCAAATAAAAATTCAAGAAAACCACAACCTACCAAGTGAACGTTGACGGCTGAGCCAGAGCAGCAATGGCGGTAGCAGCAACGACGAAAGGAAGCATTGCAGATAAGACCTGAGACGACGACGAGTCGTCGGAAGCCCTTTTGGATATTTGAGCTGGTGGGTTTATCCCAAACGACAGCAGCGACGCGTTGCCTTCCCTCCACTGCGACCCGACTCTGCCGATAAACGGCGACGTCGAGCAAGCTCTTATCGACAGAGCAGCCCCATTTCTGAATACCCTATTGAGGAAATGATAGGAGGAAGACGAAGGGGAGGAAAATAGAGAGCTTTTGGTGGGGGAATTCGGGCGTGCAAAGAGTTTTGAGGCTGCGGTGGCGGGTGCGAGAGAAAGAAAGGGTCTTGAGGTTATTGGATAGGAGATGGGAGTGGTGGACATGGTAATGGGTCGGTGGCGAAAGGGGTTTTTCCGCCGGAGAACAGTTGTTCCGGCGAGGTTTTGGGTGGTGGTTGGGAAGAGATGAAGTGATAGACTGAGCGGATTATATTTGTATAAAATTCGATTGAAAAAACAGAGAAGGAAGGTGGAGTTGCTAGCTTTTTATGGGTCTGTGTAAGTTGGGTGTGAATTGTATCGTAGAAATGCACGGTCCGTGATGGGGTAACGTGCCGGGTGAAAAAGATGGGAAATTTGATTTGATTTTTGCAGAAATGCCCTTTGGTTTTGTTGTAATTTTAAGACTGATGCTCTTGTCATTGTCTGCGAGCTTTATACATTTTCCGGTGGAGGGGACCCGTCTTTTGTTGTTTTATGAGTTCTTACATGCGTCTCTTTCAATTTCAATTATAAATACGATGATTACAATCTTGGATATGCCTGCACTAAATGATTCGAGGCTAAATAATAATGCTTCATGGGGTGAGTGGTAATGACAACTCGTTATATTCGAATCATCAACTTTCATGTTATTTAGTTTATAAAATATTATCTACAAATTTAATGTAACTGAAGAGAGAAGCGGAGGCGGGATCGAATTGGGCTAATTCAGTATGGGTCATTTGGATTTGCCGAGGCCGGAGAGCCAAGCAGCGGTGTATAAAGGGATACCGTACTTGTGGTAGTGGTTGGAAGGGTCCATTGCCACTTGGGGATTTTCATGTCAGATCTCTATCTCTTCGGTGTAAGAGTCGATGGTGAAGAGATCAAAGTTCGCGTTTTGCTCTTTTTTTCTTCTTTTTATTTTATTTTATTTTTTTCTCAAAACTGAAGTTGGTGTGAATACATGTCAAAAGCTAAAATAGGAGACAGAGAAGCCACATACAAATTTGAGTGCAGAAGGCTTAAACTCTGAAGTGAGTGATCTTGTGCACAACCCTTCAAACTGAAGCTAAAGGTACAGTTCCAATCAAAGTACTGACATATAGGAAATTCTGCCTCAAGAGAGCTCTTACTATATTGTTAGTCTGCCTCAACTATTCGAAGGAACACATGTAGCTAAAAGAAAAATAATCTCGTAAGGGGCTCGTAGTTCAAGTAACTAAGAGCATTACGCTTTCATTCGAAGTTCCCATACTTCTGCTTGCATAAAAGAACAAGGTAAATGCCAAGAAGACTGACTCAAAATGGGACTCTCCATAGATTTTCTATTACCTTACAATTTAACATTAATTCTCATGCCAGCATTATAAAATATTGTGCTAAAAACATGGGGTGACAGAGAGCACATGGGGATGCCACTTTTGAGAGAATCTCCCTAACATTTCTCAAAGAACAAAATATTACACATACCATCTGCAGAGCTTCTGCTCTGACAAAGAAGAAAAGAAGGATGAAAGAAACCAAAATTTGATCGGACAGAAACTTCCCGGAACAAAATCCAGTGCAAAAAGAATTTACTCTGATTAGAGTCACATCACTAATCAATCAAAGCATCTGCTCTAACCCTCTCAGACAACTGACACAGAGTCCTTCAAGGTTTTAGACCTGATCATTCATAATCATAATAAGTTAGATCCCCAATTGAAATTGGATTTGCAAATAGAATTAGACAACATAAGATGGGTTAGCACTCTTCCTCTCATTTACTCCTCTATTTACGCGTAGCCACGCCGGCTAGAGCAGTTATGCTCCTTCCAGTTTAGATTAGTTTGACGTAGAACGTATAGTGTGTATCGATGAAAGCAAAGACTGAGAATAAAACCTCCACATACAATTGCTACAAAAAGTAAGGATTTTTATTGATAGCTTTTATACCATTTTCATGATACCAGTTATGAGCTTCAAAATACAACATAAAACCTGTTTGCAGATGCATCACCTGATTTGGGCTTCATCTGACCACATTGTTTCTTCTGCCTCACTCAATCTTCTTGCAGCTGGGACACAACAAACTGACTGTGTTTTAACTCTGCCTCCTCCAATCTTCGGTTTCGAATCGAATTCACTGGCCATTGAAAACCGGAAAAAAAACTCAACCCAACACACACTAATCCAGACTTTGCAGAACTCACAATTCCAATCCACTTCTCCCTCCAAAGTTCTACCCAAAATATCTCCCACCAAGTTCATAATTGAGCTTGGACCGCAATTTCCCCGATTTACTCTGCACATCAAGCAATCAATCACACAACTCCAGTTTCATTTTTCATCAAAAATCAATCCAATTATCAATTTCCAAAACAAGTGAGAGACTAGATTGGAACTTACCTTGGAAACGGTTCCAATGGCTTCAAAGCTGCCGGAGGCGGCCGTGCAATCAGGCGGCGTTTCGAACAGCGACAGCGAGAACTGCTTATAAACGACGCCGACATCGAAGTAAATGATGCCGGAGCTGGGCACGTCGATCCGGATACCCTTAACCGGAAACCAGAGGAACAGCTCCTGCGCCGAAATACCCGACAAGGATCCGATCCGCCCGAAACTCAGCGTCCCCGAAACGTTTCTGTCGTAATGCAACTCGCTCTCGAACTTGGCATTGCAGGCCTGATCCAGGTGGGCCGTAAACCTGCCGGCGTCGTCGACCTCGAAATCGACGACCCCTTTCGGCAGCAGTCCCATCGGAAGCCCGTGGGCCCGCAGCACGTCGTACACCGTCGTCAGCTTCGAATTCGAGCACGTGATCAACGGGAGCAGTAAGAGGAGGAAACAGCAGGTGAAGTGCGGCAGCTGCAGCATGTTGAAGTGTTTGTTAAAATGCCTGAGTCAAGTAAAAAGAAGTGAGAACTTTGTTTTTGGTAGTGATATTTGCAGAGGTTTGGGGAATAAGGGTTAGGGTTTTGGAGGAGGGATTGGGAATGGGATTAGAAGATTTTGGGAGTGGTGGTAGTGATCTAGTAGAAGTGGAGAAGGAGACGGCGGTGCCAGCGTGAGTACAGAGAGGATTAGGAGAGTGATCAATTAGTGGTGGTGGGAAGGTGGGGCCCGCGGGGCTGTGAATCTCTGTGTTTTTGACTTGTAGTGTGTAAGTGGATGCCGAATGGGGGCCTGCCATGTGGGTACGTAAACGGTAGTTGTGGTTATTTGGCGGGAATTTGTGGGTATTTTTGTCGTGGAATCTGATAAGCACGAGGAGGAGGAAAACGAGGCGGCGGAGGAGGTGGAGAGATTTGGGATCGAGTTTTGGAGAAGAGATTGGGCACGAGGAGCAAGTTGTTGGTTAAACAGTTAAAATCTACAGTCGAAACCTCGGAATTTTAGACGTCATAACCAACCAAAAGCGCTGTCTGTCTTCCGGATTTTTCTTCAGTATCTTCGTACTTTGGTACATGTGTGTCATGCGGTGCCGACTAGTGGCGAAACTAGAAATTGATGTAGGGAGAGAGGAAATTTAAAACGGTAAAATGGTCTAAAAAAACTTAGACAACCAAATTTTTTTAGATAGTAAACAATATTAATGTCGTTCTTATTTTATTAATATAAACAAGTTATAATTGTGTCAGTGAGACTGTATTTTATAAAAACATCACATAATAGACTCAATATTAATGAAAGTAATTGTTTTCAAAATATTCGAATGAGGATTTGAATTAACCATATTATTTGAAGGAGGATTTAAACGTAGTTCCTCGCCCTTCATGGTGATTTTCGATGATAGGAGGGGTGGCCCCCCCTCCTTGTGCTAATGTGGCTATGCCACTGGTGCTAACAACTATTTGACAGATAAATTTAAGGGTAGTGTTACACTTATAATCTATTTGTACCATCATGTGTACCATCTCTCTAATAAAGCTAAAGTCCTCCAACACATATAGGGTGCATTTGTTTAGTCTGACTAATTCTTACTAGATGAGACCGAACCACTTATTAATGTAGTCCAGTGTTGGTTACGTTGTGGGACTAAGTTTAACTGCTCCACAGAAATTCTTCGTGAGAGCCTGAAAATGAGGGGGACTGCTAAGACCTTCTTCCTTCTTTGCACTCTTCCGCCTTGCAACTCTTTCTCTTCCGACAATATCCATAAACCTCCATCCCCTGACTATTGTGGGCATGGATCGGCCCTCTTTTCAGAACTACTCAAACCATAGGCCATTGACTCGTCTACGGAACCTTCACCTTCAACTCGCGCGACCCTTGCTCGTCCTCTTTCTTTTGCACCTCAAAATTCATGCAATGCTTGAATCGATTTCACGTTTCAAGAATTAGCCCATTAATTTTTACTTTTTTAATGGAGAAAGTTAGGGATGCGATGAAGGAGTTGGGGCTGCGATGGAGGAGTTGCTGTTGGTTGTGGTTGCAATTGAGGAGTTGGGGCTACAATAATGGAGGAGTTGAGGCTATGATAGTGGATGAGTTGTTAGTTCTCATTGTAAACATGAAAATCATGTAGCAAATAACACAAGAACACGTGCACAAAATAATAATTTTATTAATGTAAATGTAGGGTTACAATCTCTTTGCAAGTTGATCCTTTGATTGGATCTCCGAAATGTAAGGTGTGTAGTGTTGTTAATCCAAGGGCTGCGATAACTTGATCTTGGTTGAACGGGTGCCGCAAGGTTTTGGCTCTTAGCAATAAAGGAGTAGGCATGTGTAGGGGTGCTTGGTGGTTCTTCATGGGTTTGACGAAGAACACGAAGGGTTTGCCAAGTCTTCTTGAGTGTTTGAGTGTTTGAGTGTTTTGAGAACTTCGGAGGTTCAAAGCTTCAGCATCTGGGCGTGAATGATTTTTTGGCCCTTTTTCTTTGTCTTGGAGCCTAGTATTTAACTCTCTAAGCCTTGCTTACAGATGGATTTCGCCTTGATTGTGGGCTTGATTAATTGACAAAAGGACTCGATTTACGTACCGGTTCGTGATTTTACTCCAACAATTAACATTTGATGAGTTTCGGAGTCCTTCTTGATGACTTATCCGATTTTGATGAGTCACATTTATGTGTGCGATTTGTTAGACACATGGCGCATGCCACGTATGCCCTAACATGTCGAAACTTTAATGTGTTACTGAAAATTTATTTTACCGGAAGTTCAATGTCTACACTCATTTTATTAATCATAAAGTTGGGGATGAGATGGAAGATTTATTAATCATATATATTTTGGATTTTATAATTTTAAAAGATTTTTTTAACAAATTTAAAAAGATTAATTACTTTTTCATAATCCTTCTCCTTAGTCTGACACTGCACCAAACACTTTACTAAATTAGTCCAACTTAGTCTATTCTATGCTAGTCTAACACAGTTTTTGAAGCTAACTAATCCGACACAGTCATATCAAATAAATGCACCCATAAGTCTCATCTCTATTGGAAATATAGTACAAATAGATAATAAAAATAGCATTTTGTAAATTAAATTCATTGCTCAAATATTTATTAACATTGAGTAGTATTTGGTCACTCTCCCACTGCAAAGAAAATGAGAATTTTAACAAAAAGCTCTCAGTATTGTTCACTTTAACGAAAAACCACATTTTTACACTAAAAAGTCAATCATGATACTATTCACTTTATCCTTTATTTTGTCCTTATCATTAAAACTCAAAGTTTTCAAACCATTTTTATTAGTTTTTCTAAAGAAAATTGGACCTTGACCTTTGTACACAAAAAAGGGATCAATGGTGCGTTAAAAAAAGGAAAGGTTGTTTGTTGATTTGTATATAGTATGCGATTTCACATACAGTCGTTTGTATACAATTATAAATTGGGTAATGTTAAAGAGATTAAATTTGCAAACTAAATGATATGTCACCAATAAGAATAGGCGGAACTTTATCAACGTGTAAGTAATAAACCAATCATCTACTTCCATGTCTTTTAATTTTTAAAACTTTGTCTACAAACTTAATCTTCCTAGCATTACTCTTATAAATTTATCGTTCATTTGGTCATGCATAAAGTTTAGTGTCGTGTCATCAAGTGTCGGTTTTTCTTTCTTTTTCCTTTGCATACTATAATTTGTATATAATTTTGTTTCTGTAATTTTTTTTTCATACAATTATACTCATACACATGTGTACTTTTTTTTTTTGGAACATACACATGTGTATTTATCCCTTAATTGTTGATGCAATAGTTTTTTTGTCGTGACATTATGTATGTACTGCTTTCTTGTTCATAGTTGATTTGACACATTAATTATTGTTCATAGACCATTATGATATAAGATATAGCCGCGCCAAAAATGAGCAGGAGATGTGTCTTTCATCACATGACCTGGATTGTCTGTCTTCTCCATCACATACCTTTTCCATCTTCTTCTATTTCTGTGATCACAGTTAAGTCATGTCAACATTTTATATTCATATTATTTTTTGTCTTATTATTTCTATAAAAAAATCAATATAAAATGTTAACGTGGCTTAACTGTGACCACATAAATAGGAGAGGATGGAAAGAGTATGGGATGTGGGAGGGTAGACAATCCAGGTCCTTCTTCAGGGAGATGGATTGTCTGCCCTCCCATTTCCATACTTTTTCCATCATCTCCTGTTTTGTGTGGTCACGGTTAAGCCATGTTAACATTTTATATTCCTATTACTTTTTGTTTTATTATTTTTATAAAAAAAAATCAATATAAAATGTTGACGTGGCTTAACCGTGACCACACAAACAGGAGAGAATAGGAAGAGTATAGAAATAGGAGGCAGACAATCCACCTTCCTTCTTCAAATGCATCATGTATGGTCCAAATTTTGTGTTATCTGGCTACTCGTACATTGATTTGACATCTATTTTACTTCATGTCTACAAAAATTAATTTGTAGGTGATAACATATTTCTTGATGCTTCTATAGCGAGCCACTTGGCTAGAATTCAATCGGTAACAAACTCATTACAATCGGTATTTTTTTAAACAAACAATATTATCTGCATTATAATATTTCGTTACGTTAAAAATTTCTAGAGGTTGCAAGTATGAAAATGATAATGTTGTGACACATGGGAAACCAAAGGTAGCTTGCGAAAGGTAATAACAATATTACGCTAAGACATTACTTGGGTATAAGTTATTATGATTTTGTCTTTGACAAATTTATGGACAATAATTTCAGTGATTGATTGAAGATAAGTCTGCTAAACAAATCTTTAGGGGATATTTTTTTTTTTTTTGGTCTGAAAAGTGAATTTCATTACTTTGAAACAAGGTTACAACCCAAATGCATTGGGGAGAAATAGATATATAAGAGCATAGTCCAATTATATAAGCAAAAGCAAAAGCCCACATCCTAATATCTAACTATAGAAAGTCGTATTCCCCGTTGTTATGATCATGAAAGTATTGTCAACAGCTACCCAAGCAGCAACACCAGAGAAAATGACCAAGACATCGTAGCACAAAAGTACCAAACTTGCAACCAAAAGAGAAAACGCGAGAGTGTTTGCAGACTTGAGAAACCGGAGAGAAAACGCTTTTTTGACTTTAAAGATAATCCAGTTTGGTTCTACCCCTCACATGATCTGATTATTTCTCTCCTTTCTCTCTTTGCTCCTGTCCTACTCACAGACCTCTCCTCCGAATCTTTGTCTCCTATTTCTTTCTTCTCTCTTTGCTCTTTCCTTTAGGGGATTATAACGTGTATACATTTCAATTATTGGTTCAACTCTCTACTTTCTTCATTATAATTATAAAGATCTCATTCATACATTCATAATATAATGTTATGGAGAACATCATGGGGCTTGTTTGGAACTATTTTTAAAATAATTGAAAACACTTTAAAAAATATTTTTAGGTTCTAAAAGCAATTAAAGTGCTTTTTGCAAGAAGCAAAAGTTAGATGCTTATTGCATGAAGTAATAAAGTGTTTTTCTAGGGTTCAATTACATTTTTATTAAGAATTGGTTTAAAAAACATTTTCACCGAAAAAGTTTCCAACCATTTTAAAATATTTCCAAACAAGTCCATAGACATGACACACTCATAGTAATATGATTAAGCTTTTGTGCA